CCCGGCCCCACCACACTATTTTTTAAAAGTACTTTCTGTTATGTAAGTTTCTAATCACCAATAATTCCTATCTTCTATAACTTGACAGTTATTTTTCTCCTGCCTTGCCCATTTTGAATTGGCAAACTAATTGAGAATTAATAATAGACCAAAGTCAGAGAGCAAAAGAGAGATTAAAAATAGTATAAACTAGACAAAATTTGGCAAACGTTGTAACTATTTCAAGTCTTTGGTTGCAACCAAAACACCTAAATTTTGAATTATGTCACTGTAATAGTGACAGTGAAGTTTGCCACTAAGGTTTTCCTTTAAGATAGAAAGTACTAGAATGGAGGTTTTGGTTGTTGGTAAGGGTTTTCTTGCTGCTTTTTCAGACAGTTTATATAAATGGAATAATGTAATATGTAGTCATTAGCTTCTGGTTGCTTTTCCTTGTGTAATGTTCATTTATATCTTGGGATATATAAGTTTTTTGTTTTTGTTTTTACTGCTATGTAGTGTTCGTGGTAAGGATATACCACATCTTATCTGACCATCAGTTGGTGACAATTGGAGGGTTTTGCCCTGGTAGCTATGAATAATGATGCTGTGAATATTCACATATATGTCTAGCCAGGTACCTGTAATCCTAGCTACTCAGGAGGCTGATACCTCAGGATCAAGGTCCAAAGCCAGCCCAGGCAGCAACATCCATGAGACTCATCTCCACTTATCCACTGTAGCTGTAGCTCAAAGTGGTAGAGTGCTAGGCTTGAGCAAAAAGAGCTCAGGGACAGCACTCAGCCCCTGAGTTCAAGCCCAATGACCAACACCGAATAAAGATAAAAAACCATACATCTCTGGTTTTTGTTTGGTTTTAGTGATACTGGAGTTTGAATTCAGGGCCCCATTCGTGGTAGACTGATACTGTACCACTTTAAAAACCATTTCCCCAGTGGCTTTAAGTTTTTTTATGTGTGTTTTTAATTTTATATTAGTTATGTAGGGGATGATTTCATTGTTACAGCCTCTGAGCATGTTTATACTCTATCAACTCCACCCCCTCTATCACACTCTCTACTAGGGAGACTCTGGTTATCTTTTACTTGAGTTATTTTTCCTATAGGGTTTTACATTTTTGGCTGGGCCTGCTTGCAACACTGTTCTCCTATTTGCACCTCCTGGGTAGCTGGAATGGCAGACATAGACGACTACACCTAACTTATTACTTGAGATATGGGGGTCTTGATAATGTTTTGCCTGGGCTGTCCTTGAACTTTAGATATCCACAGATTACAGATATGAGCCACTGGGCCTGACTTCGCAAACATATCTTTGTGAAGACATCTTTGTTTCTTTTGGGCAGATTTCTAGAACTGGAATCACTGAAAGTGTGGTTAGGTTTATGCTTAATAGTCTAACAAATTGTTAAGATGTTTTTCAAATTTGCTGCACCACTTTACACTCTTTAAAAAAACAAAACAAGCTGGGCATCGGTGACTCACCCCTGTAATCCTAGCTACTCAGGAGTCTGAGCTCTTAGGATCATGGTTCAAAGCTAGCCCAGGCAGGAAAGTCTGTGAGACTCTTATTGCCAATGAACCATTAGAAAACCAGAATTGATGGTGCTGTGGCTCAAGTGGTAGAGTTCTAACCTTGAGCTGAAGAGCTGAGGGACGGCGCCCAAGCCAAATTCTAGCCTCACCCACGACCGCCAGAAAAAACAGAAACAACAACAACAAAAACCCTATTGTTTCTATTTTCTGGAGTTCATTCTATATGATTAGAGGCACAGATTGTCCCTTTGTGTTCCTCCTCTGTGAGTATCTTCCTTTGGTATCACTGTGCGTGAATGCTTAGAGTTCTGCATAATTTATCATGTCCTAGTATGATTAACACTTTATTAGCAATATATGAGTGTTCTACTTGTTCAATATTTTCACCAGCTGTTTTGTTATAATTTTCATTTTAGTGGCCAAATGGTATTCTATCTTGATTTTTAATTTGCATTTTCTAAAACACACTTCAAAATTTTAAATTTGTTGGCCTTACATGCTGTTCAATATTTCTTTTTTTTTTTGGGGGGGGGCGTCCGGTCATGGGACCTGAACTCTGGCCTGGGCGCTGTCCCTCAGCTCTTCAGCTCAAGGCTAGCACTCTACCACTTGAGCCACAGCGCCACTTCCGGCTTTTTTCTTTTTGCGTATGTGGTGCTGAGGAATCAAACCCAGGGCCTCATGCATGCAAGGCAAGCGCTCTACTACTGAGCCACCTTCCCAGCCCCTGTTC